GCGATGCCATTTATCCGTCTTGCGCAAACAAAGTCGGCAGAATAGATACTTGGCTTCGTCTCTCGGCAACAGGGAAAATGAGGGCACAGTCAGCAGAACTGGGCAAGGGGACATACAAGGCAGGCGGTGGTATTTCATGAAGCAGTTCAATTCGTCCTCTACAAAGAGGTGTGCTTCGCCGTCGATGACATCCTTGAGCATGTCTACAGGTAGCATGGTGAGTTTGAACATGCGCGTTCTTGAGCCTGTATGTGATGCAAACGTACCTTCAAACAACTTTACGTACATGGACACCCCATCGTGTTTGCTGCCTTCCGCCTTAGCAGCAGCGCCGTCCTGCGCATCTGCGCTCGATGGACCATCCTCGGCGTGGGAGGTGTCATCTGTATCGGGCGACCAGAACACAAGTTTGTTTGCGAGAGAAGCAGAGGGTGAACCTAGAACCATATTCGGGTGATTCGCGCCAAGGTCGTGCAGTCGGAGAGATGCCTTGAATCGAGGGCTATGCGCAGTGAAGGTACAACGAGACAGATACGTCTTGCGCGCCCAGCCACAGAGGTTCTGCAGGAGTGAAGCCGAAGCTAAAGCACACTGGCCAGTCGAGACAGACGTCTGAGTCGGGAGAGAGAGGACAAGACGCGGGACGGACAAGCGCCCATGATCCGATCGCGCTGCAGACGCGGGGAATGTGACGGACGCGTTGTCACAGAGGAGATCGAGATCTGCGTACAGTACAGGGCGGTGGCCGTGCTGCGTTCGGCTGCGTCGCTTCCAGCCAGGCCGTGACATGGAGTGCCACTCACCGCAGATTGAGACTCGGAGTGTAACACACCCATGGCCAAGGAGAGGGGTCCGCAGAGCGTTATGACATCGCCGGCCTGTCCTCTCCGCAACATCGCATTGCTTTCAACCCTCCTGGCACATATATAGCCCCTCGCCATCATCTCACTCGCCCGCTGACCTCCACCGCTTCCCCTTCATCCCAGAGGACGTCTGCAGACTGCGGCAGAGCGCTACTACAGTATGATCTCACTCGGTTTCCGGCGCAGGGCTGCCCACCCTGGGTGCAAGCTCGAGTGGCACCCGGCGGCGGATGCAGACGCCGATGAGCTCGCCCTCGCCGCCCAGGAGCTCTCCTCTGCAGACTTCATCGTACGTCCACGCCCAACCCACCATGAACAAACGCAAGCACCAGCTCACGTCCGACACACAGATCAAACCCAACGAGCTCCATCTCGCATTCGACGTCGGCCCCCTCCGCTCGCGCGCCCACAGCCGCTTCAAGCGGCTCAACCCTCGCCAGCAGGCCTCCTCCTCCAAGCCCGGCCCCGCCGGGAACCCGCTGCAGCTGCGTCGCCCAGGCGCGCCATCGCGCTCGAACACCGTCAGCTCCGTCGCGACGCTCACCATGACGCTCACCGCCGACGCCGCCGTCCTCATCACCCGCCATGTCCGGCGCGAGTCCACGTACATCGTCTGGGGCGGCCTCCTCGCCTTCGAGCCCCCCGGCGCCGCCCTCCCGCTCCGCGCTGTGCTCGTCAAGATCGCCGTCGACGACGAGGGCGGCGAGGACCTCCGCGACCATGCGCGGCACTACGAGGGCCTCGCGGAGCGCGGGCTTGACGTCGGGTATTATGGGATCTTTGGAGATAGTATCGGGAGCACGGCGCTCGTCGTTGAGGACCTTGGGGACGACTCTCCGCGCTCGATGAGCCCGTGACGTCGTGGTGAGCTTATCCGCAGCTCAACTGAACCTTCCTCGTTGCGAGGTCATCGCTTATGGGACTGTGGTCAGCTTCCCGTACTGCGATCCGGACGCCGTTTCTCTTTGGATCACGCATATTTCACTAATGGGACGCTCTGCATCTGTACAATAAGGAACCTCCGTGGACATGCTCGCACCACGATGTACTTCGGAATAATCTGTACACTATACCTCTCCTGCACATTCACCTCCGTATCTCCTGCTGTAACTCGACTCTCCTATACACATCGCAATATATCCGGACTCCCGATGGCTGGAATCGATAGCATGGTCATAAACATACGTCAGAACATACAAGGGTATCTCTCATAGCACAAGAAACTGCGTCCATCCATAGCGCACAGCGCCCTCCCGCCCCGCCCACGCTCAATACCCCCTCCGCAACCTCTCATTCTCATCCCTCAACCGCGCGTTCTCCTCCCTCAGCGCCCTCAGCTCCTCCCCGATCCCGCCCAGCGCGTCCTGCATCTCCCGCCTCCAGCTCGTGCCCATCCTGATCAGGTCCAGATGCAGCCCGACGATCTCCGCCTTCGTCTCCGCCCGGAAGTCGTGCAGCGCGTCCCGCAGCAGCGCCTGCAGCATGTCCTGCGCTGCGCGCGCCTGCGGGCTCGCGGGCACCGGGCCCGGCACCCCGCCGACGCCCGCCGACGACGAGGCGGGGTTGCGCAGCGGGGAGGGGACGGGCGCCCAGCGCGAGGCGTTGGGTGCGCCGGGCCCGGGGAAGGAGCGCCGTGGCGAGATTTGCATGGCGAGCTCGGGCTGCTGCTGCGGCCTGTGCTCGCGTTCGCTAGACAGTCCGTGCTCCGTCTCATGCTCCCACCTGAGTCCCTTGGAAGGCGAGCGCGACCGGCCTGCGTCCCGTGCGTCTTCTTCCTCCTCGTCTTCTTCACCGTCGCTGTTCGCGGCGAAGCCAACCCGCTTGCCTTCCCTCGGGCCTTCCTTCGCCTCGCCGGCACGGATCCATTCGTCCACGTCTGGGGTACCAAGCCCGAGCGCACCGCCCGCAGCAGCACCTGCGCGCTCCTTGCCCTTCATCTTGTACGCCGGGATAGGCGTGACGGGCCCCGCGTCGTTGATATCAGGCAGCTCAGGACTTGGCGTCCTAGAGCGCGAGAGGGTTGATCCCGAGATGCGCCTTGGCTGCGCGCGGACCGGGGATACGGGTGATTTGCCCAGGGTGGATCTCACGGAGGCCTTGCTGACCCGACTCGTGGTGCTCGCGGATGACGAAGTGCGCGCACGAGGTGCAGCTGTTGAGATTGACTCCGTAGTCGGGGCATGAGAGGGCGATTCGGCTTCTTGTTGCATCCGAGCTCGCCCGCTGTTGCTCGCCAGGGAACGAGAAGAAGCTCGAGAAAGCACAGAGGACGCCCTGGACGCAGCTGCCTGCGGGACCTCGTCGACAGCGGCGGGGCCGTTGAGCTCTTTTGGCTTAGGCATCTGAAGGAGGTTCTCAATTCTAACTGGATACTGGAGTCAGGCCATATGGTGCGCAATGCAACAACTGTGCACGCACCTGACAAGTCTCCTACATCGGCACCTTCATCTTTCTTGTCAGCGAGCGTGACAGGAGACTTTGTCGGAGAGAACGCTCTGCGCGACGCTGCAGCACCCGCCGGGCGGGTAGCCACTGGTGATTTCGGCCCAGCACGGACGGGAGCCTTGCTGCCCGATGCGACTCGATTCGCCGGTGGGTTTGCCACGGTGGGGGACGACGCGGTCCGGGCGGTGAGCCGTCGAGGAGTGGTAGACGTGCCTGTGCCATTGGTAGTTCCAGTACCTGCCCGCGGTCTTGTTACTTTCGGGGGCGCCTTACCGATATCCTTGTCGAGAGCTTTCTTCACGGGTCCGTTAGGAGCCGAAGCTGGAGGTGCGGCTGCCTTGTTCACATCGCGCTGCACTAGTGGTTTCGAAGCAGTTGTTGAAGCTGCCGGCTTCGTCACTGCCTCCCCGGCCTTCAGCTTCTTCTGTAAAGCACAGAGTGAGTATAAAACGTTTCAATCACACGAGTATAAGAACGTACCTGGACAGAGATTGCTGTGATACGGTCGCCATTCTCGCTAATTGTGACAGTCTTTGGAGGCTTATCAAGCGCACGAAGGTCAAGGACGAGGAACTTCCCGTTTTCCGTCCCTGCATACACCGCAGCGCCCTCCGCTGAGAATGAAAGACAGGTGATGGGAGCTGGCATGGGAACAACCCTGAAGAGCCTGTTGTGGCGCAAGCAATGAGCCACCACGATAGCCTACAAGGGCAGAAGGCCACATACCCTTTCTCTTTCTCTAGGTCAACGAGCGCGACCGTCCCGCCGCTGCACCCGACGGCTACGAGTGTCTTGCTGAACGGGCTGCAGGAAATAGCAATGACTGAGCCAATGTTCTTCTTCTCCTTGTCGATATCGATGACCTTGACCGGGCCCGACGGACGAGTGGTGTCGTACACAAGCAGCTGCGAGCCAAGGCCTACGAGGAGACGCGTGCGAGAGTGAGGGTGAAAGGCGCAAGTAGTGATGCTCCCGCCACCGGATGGAATGCCTCTCAAGACGGTATGCGAAGCGAGCGTGAGGTTGTGGACATGAATGGCATGCGCGGACGTGGACGCTAGCAGAGACGAGTCGTTGGAGAGCGACAGAGAGGTGACGGGAGACTTGTGCGTGTCGAAGGTGTTGGCCGGCTTCCCTGTAGTTACGGATAGCACGACGACTTGCTGTCCTTGAGCGAATATGGCTGTTGCACCTCTGTCTTTATAGAGTAGCGAAGCAATAGGCTCCTTCGCCGACCGAGAGGCGACAGAGAGTTCCTGGTATGCTCCAGAGGCCACTTCATAGAGAGAGAGGCTCCCATGCGCAGAGCCTAGCAAGATCGTCCCAGACTCCGCACACCAGGAGATACAGCTCTGTCGCGAGGCTAAGGCATATGCAGGATCGGCGGTTGACGGGGGATGCTTGAGGCTGGAGGACGAGAGAACAGTAATGCTTGTGGATGTCAGAACTGCAGCCATGGTTTCACATGTACTATCCGAGCGCGCTGCAGGTACACGGCAAGATGGTGGGTCAGAGGCAGCGAGCTGAGACTGAGTGAGAGGAGAGAAGTTGATCTTTCCCGTTGACGCCCGCTCGACGCGTCGTTCTCGCTCAGTCGCGCGACGGCGGCGACGCCCGCGTGACCGTGTTTCGCAGTCTGTAGGCGGTAACACTAGTGCCTACTATGTATTGTCTTTTACATGTACACAACAAGCCATCGTGGCGCAATGGTAGCGCATCACCTTCCTAACCAGGGGAACGTTGTAGGTGGCGGTTGCGGGTTCGAGCCCCGTCGATGGTATTGGGTATTCTTTTTGGCAGCATGGACCATGCATCACGCGAAAGGCGCGGATCTGGGATGTGCCTTGGGTGACATTGCAAGGATGTGGGGTGGCATCGTGACACGGTACCTACGCATAGGAGAATGGCAACTACACAATGTATGAAAATGCGATTTTCATTTACATGCGTCACTCCCAATGCACATACACGGCATGAGTTGATGGCACAACTTGTGCTGTGTCTCATGATGATCAACGTGAAAACCGTGATGGGAGTGCAGAGATCACGGTGTCGCTTATGATGGCTGCTAGGTTTGCTGACGTTGGTATCGAAAGGGAGGATGTCACAACAGTCATAAGTTGTGTATCAGACCCAATCGTCCTATGTGCTTTAAAGGCAAGGTCAGATTGGCGGTGAATGCTAGGTACTCGCCAACCAGTTGCTGCATCATTCCGATTAAGGACATACTAACATAGTATTCAATGTGAGATGCATAAACCAGACTATCCGCTCGGGCTAAGAGAGAGGGGAGGGGGCGGCGACATGAATGGTGGGATGTCACATCAATACAGGGACTTGGAGCTTCTAAACTGGTACATTCTGGCTACCACATCCCTGGCTGTCAACCTGCGAGGATTCACCGGCGGAACGGCTAGATGCGGGCACATTCTCGGGGACAGCCCGCTTGGCTTGGACACGCGCCGTGATCTGCACACTCATCATCGCCATGATGGAGGAGGGTTCTCCATCATGTCCATCATCGCTTTCTCCACTCCCCTTGAAGTCGTCATCGTCATACGAGCTGCCGAAGATCTGTCTGGGAGTATATGGAGCTATCTTCAGCATTGAGGCCAGGAACAGAGACACGCCGGAGACTCAGGCTTACTCGTTCCACCAGGAAATGAGGCATGCGCGGTCCTCTTCTGGGAGCTTCTCCTCTACGAAACGCACGATCGACTGGTAGTATCGCTCGTAAGGGAACGTCCCCGTGAGCGAGCCGTCACTGAAGGACTCTTGCGAGTTCAGAGAGCAATGTACCTGGGTGATGATGCGAAGGAATTCCATATCATATGAGCATTTGCTCACTAATAGAGGACACGCAGACGTACGAGTACAGCTGTGTATGCCATGAATGGCACGGTGATCGAGCGGATGCTGTAGATCTTCGCTTTGGGTTTCTTGGCAGCAATTTTCCCGCCCTGTTCATCGACAGTCCGAGGTCCGAGGAGTACATACCGACCGGCCTTGGGATGGCGTAGAGAGAAGTCGGAAATTTGCAAAGTGAGCATACAGAGCCAGGTCAAAAGGCATGAAACAAACCTTGATCAACCGAACATTCCGGAGGAAACCCTTCTGCAGGTCGGCGAGATCTGCTTTCTCCTCTTCCCAAAGGAAAGTAGGCCACTGCGTGGCACCACATGGATACCTCTTGTCACGGTTTCGGAGTGCCTGCCGGATCCTGTAGGTTCAGTTGCAGTAGGTGATCAGTACACATGCATAATGGTCTTACCCGGATGGGGATGGCCACAGAAGCATGACACGTACTCGGGCTTGGACCAATCGTAGCTAGGGGGGCACAGCAGACGGCCACACTCAGGATGATTGAAGCCTCGAACTGACTTTGCATCGGGGGGGATAGGTGGTGTGTAGTTGTCCCAGGCGACAATAGCCTTCTTGATGCTATGCAGGTCGACGCCTCTGACGCCTTGTCGTCCATCATGGAGCTATTTGTTATAATTTGAGTCAGTCAGTACGACCAATAGAAATGATCTGAGTACAATGTCATACCTCGTTGGCAACCTCAATGAGCCCTCTGGGCCCGCGCTTTTCGACTTCGTCGACGATCCATGGCGCGAGAGCGACAATGTGTTGATAGAGCTGCCGGTATTTGCGCTCTCTGTAGACCGGTGTGTCAACAGATACCCCCATGAATGAAGTGCGCGAGAGGTCTCACCTGTAGCTGAGCGTGGTCAGAGGTGAATGGGAGTTGACAGTGATGCCGATGGTCAAGATGGTCTGGAAATCCCGGAATAGGTCGCCCATCATGCCGACAGCAACTCCAATGGCCATAAGCTGAGTTTCTCGGCGGTGCTTCCTGAAATGAATGAGCTGGTGTCTCAGGCATGATCAAAGAGTCAACTCACGTCCGACGTGCTTTCTTCTTCTTTGGCTGCCTCTCCTCCGGATCGCAATCTGATCCAGTACCGGCTTGTGCGTGAGGGCGAACCAGGACATTCAAGGCCGAAGTGTTGTCAGTCAGTTGATGGTGCAACGGCAATTCTGGGGAGTCGTGAGGATGGGCAGACGGCAGAGGTGAGCCCGAGCGCGAGGGCATAGCTGCAGAGATACCAAGGGCAGATGGCCAGCCGGGAGGGCATAAGTGGTGGCCGCTCAAGCCCTTTGTACCACAGTCTGGCTCAGGGCTATCTTGGCAAAAATGGAGACGTCAGCGGCGTTTCATACTAATCCACTACAGTAGTATACCCCTAATGCAATAACGGGTCGAGACTTCAAATCGAGAGCACGCTGGATGCCGTTATCACAACTCTGCATGAAAGTCGAAGTCAGCGTACTCCAGTTCCACCTCCTCATCCTCATCGTTGACCAAATCACCACCAGTGCCATCCTCCTCGTCGACGTCCTGGTTGCCTAAGAGAGACGATATGCGATGCGGAGGAGAGGCGAGGGCATGGGGGCTAGGATTGTCGGTTCCGGGAACCGCATGCTGCACGTGTGGCAAGGGGACTTCGGCATCGAATCCAGGTGGTTTCAATGACTCTGTGGCGCTGGCGCAAAGGCCCATGTGCCCGACGCCACAGCCAAGGAATCGTGCAAAGATATCCCGGTCCACAAACCTGTCGTGAGTTAGTTTCTAGTAATGAGGTTGATTCAAGGGGCACGCTCACCGGTTCACGACATGATACCGCCAGTCTCCTTCAGGATCCCTTGCTAGAGTCGAAGCTGGTAGATAGTCCTTGGTGCGGCCATGGTGGAACGCCGGAATCAGGTGACATGCTCGTATAACGTGAGCTGGATCTACGAAACCGAATGCGTCGCCTGTGCTGTACGATGTGAACTTTACTTTGTCAAGGCGCCGTGCGAGAGGGCCACTTTGATGCGCGTCAACATGCTCGAACCATCGCACGTGCAAGAATTCATAGCGGCAAGGCTTGGTCTCCCCAGGCGGCAGCACATTGGCGTGATAGATTCCAAGTACACGGGCATAGGTCCAAGGAAAGGGGCGCACAACATCACATGATGCTGCCGAGGGTGTGTGGACGAGGATATCGCGCTTGTCAGTGGATGGATGGATGATGTCCTGATCGCGTTGCAAGTCATAGGTGGTATAGTTGACATACGCGATGGCGTGACGGTAGACGCGGTCGTGGCGTACAATAATTGGGACCTCTTCATCAGCGAGGGGAGGGTATGCATCGCGCAAGCGTTCGCGTAGATGAGCCTTCATGAGGGGTACAAACATCTAGGAGGTGAAAGATTAGTTAGTACCTGTCGCGATAACATGATCTGAATGTACCTGTACAGCCGGATCGTCTGCGTTGCGAGCTTGCCAGTCTGCCAGATCCACAACGTTCTTCTCAGTTTCCCCGATGTGGTGGTGAACCTCCGGAGCGATGAAACTTGGATCAGCAACATCCTCGGAGTGGGAGACAAGGCCGGGGATATCCATCCCAAGCTCGCAGAGCTCATGCGCCATTTGATGCATCCGGGACTCGCGAGCGTCAAGATTCACAACTTGGCCGTCAGCTGAAACCCCATTGGTGCGTTGGCGACGGGCTTTGACACGTCGGTGCTCATGTTCACCCTGTATACCTCACCGTCAATACAGAATGAAGATCAGCACCTCAGGATACCAGAAAACATACAATCTGTGTCGTATATGCATCTGTAGTGCCGAACTGCCGAATACTTGAAGGATAATCTCCAAGGAAGTGCATCTTGACTGTGTTGATGTTGAAGGTACGGGGGCGGCAGCCATCGCCCACGGTCGCCTGCGTACCACCCGGGCGACGAGCATCAGCACGTTTGTGAGCATCATACTCTGCTTGCGTCTCGCGAGTGTCAAAGGCGGTGCAAGTCACGGACGAGAAATGTCGAAGTTCATAGCCCAGTACTGTTGTGGCATCTTCGAGGTGAGCTAGCGAAGTACCAGTATGCATGCGCATCTTCGCAAGTGCGTGCCAGTACGCTGCAACAAAAAGCAAGGTGAGGATAGCGTCGTTGTGTGCTTCAGGTAAAAGCCCCTCGAAGCACGGTATAATGCACTGCCACACAGCATGTCAGCAGGCGGGCATCCAAGTTCAGGTAGCCCAGTACTCACTTGAAGCATATCTTCAAAATCCCTTGCCGCCAAGCGCTTCATGTCGCATACATTGTCTGCAAATTTCCGAATCGTTGTCCATGCGAAGGACGGGACTTGGCGGAAGCTATACAACCGCGCAACCAGATCGATCAGTGAGCATGGCGAATAGGAAGGGATCTGACGCACCGCTTGTTCAACTCATGAACAGTCGCCGTACCAGCCGTCTCCAAGATGCGCACGATCTGAGTAAAGATCGCCTTCCAAACACCCAACTCAAACTCGTGGAGCTGATCAACAACAAGAGCCTCGTGGAGATTGAACCCGAAGCATTGCAGTTTCGCAAACGCATTCTGTAAATTGCAATCAACACTCTAGAACGTCGCAGAAAGTGGGAGGACGCACCCGTGTTGGCACAAGGGACTGCTCGCGGAGAAGCGCTTCGACGTGGTCCGAGTTCACTACATACCCATCGTGGTAGACAAGCTCGCGTGCTTCCTGTATGAGGTTGTCGTGACTGCTCATCGGGGGCCTGGCAGTCCGCACACGTGCTTCGAAGTCCTCGGGTGTTCCCATCTTGTGAATTTGATCGAAAGTCGTGAGGCAGCGCGGACACGGGCAACGGCCCTTGTCTCGAAGAGTTGCCAGAAGCATTCTGTGAAGGGTGATAGTTAGCAGAGCCTCAGGATCGCTCAGTGCTT